TGCGGCAGCCTGATGCAAAACCCATTGGACTTGATGGGAGTCTTTCCTTTGACATGTTTTGGTTGTGGCCCATACTCTATGCCGATCCTGGTAGCGCTCTTATTCCAAGTAAACGCCACGGTCCAAGGCACAAAGATAAAGTTAAGCATGTGTCTAAGTGCTTTACTGGATTGACTTGCAAATATTTGGAGTAAGCACTTTCTCCGTAGAGGAGCTGCGGCAGCCTGATGCAAAACCCATTGGACTTGATGGGAGTCTTTCCTTTGACATGTTTTGGTTGTGGCCCATACTCTATGCCGATCCTGGTAGCGCTCTTATTCCAAGTAAACGCCACGGTCCAAGGCACATTTGGTCTGCTCCTTACCAGCTCACTGCACTGCTTAGCTCTTCATCTCTATGTTGCAAGAAACCTTCTGAATTTTTTTTTGTTCCAAAATCCACTTGTTCCTCACATGAGGAAGAGCAATAAGGAAATGGCTTGCACATGGTAGCAGCGCAGCATTGCTTTTGGATTCTCCGGCTGCTAGCTGAGTCATTTCAGAAATTCTTTCATGTTTGGCTGTTCTTGGTGTATTTTGCACTGGGCCAAGTTTCCCTAAAACAGCCTTGCCAATGCACTTCAACATTGATCTGCAACAATGTCTTCCGGACTTTGTTGGAGCAGACATGATTGATTGTGCTAGTGCTTCACAGTTGATAGTGGGTGATTTTGTTATGTGAACAAATGTCCTTTTGGAGGTTTGGAGGCGACAGATGTTCTCTTGGAATGACAGATGCATTTAGGGCAATATTTCCGTGGGTAGAAGCTTCATGGTACATTCTGTATTCTCTTAGGGTAACTCAATGGTGAGGGAGTGTCACAGGATTCAACTCTTTAGCCCATCCACAGAGGAGATGTCTTGGTTACAGCCCTCAGCTAGGCTATGTCTACACAGCAGTGTTCTGAAATAACGTAGTGTACATCTACACAGCAAGTCCGTTATTTCAAATTTATTTTGAAATAACAGGCTTCTTACTCAGACTTCCGTAAACCTCATTTCATGAGAAGTAAGTGAAGTCGTGGGGAGGGGGAGAGTCCTCTATTTCGAAATAACTGCTGTGTAGACTGCGTCAAAAGTCGAAATAAGCTATTTTCAAGTCGAAGTAGCTTATTTCAAGTTTAGCCCTGCTGTGTAGATGTACGCTGCTAGAGAGCTGTGACTCAAGTTTAGCTCATGCTTTTAGGTCTAGGGGACCCTAGTTCAGTCCCTGATGTGTCATCCAAGAGGGTAGCCACTATTGCACTAGCAGACATTGGTCTCCATCATTCCACATTGGAGACCCATTTATCTGTTGTGGTGTTTGTATCGGTGCCTGGTACACATTGGCAGAATCTTCCATGTTAATACTGATTGAAATATGTTGGGTTAAACTTCTTATTTTTCTTGAGGGGCAAAAGGCTTTTTATAGATTTTTGTATGTGAAAAATACTTGGTATTTTTCCTTCATAATTTTCTGTTTAAATTAGCTAAATGAATCTGGAAAACAAGTAATCCTCTTCTTTTCACAAAAAAAAAAAAAAAAAAACGGCGGTTTAGCCATACCCTGAGAGTGTATAAGGGCTGGGGGTAGCGAGTGATGGAGAGGAGGAGAACTGAGGGTGGGGCTTCAAGGACGGGGTGGAGTTTTGGGGGGGGAGGATGGGGTGGATTCCTGCTACCACACCCTTCCTTATTTCAGTGGCAACACAGAAAAAGAAAAGGAGGTGCAATGGATTCTGAAACTTATTTTTTATACATTCCAAATAAATAAAATATTTCCTCTCTAAACCTACAAAATGAAAATCATTGAATTTTACTCCTCCATTTGAGGAGGCATTGCCTACATAGATTATAAGGGTCAATGACTCATACTATGGCACCTCCTGCTAGTCACTCCAGGAATTAGGTGCTCAGAGGCTGGACTGAGCTCTTCTGGTGGTGTCTTGCACATTGTTACCTGTCTCTTTTTGTCTGTTCTCCACCATTTGTCAGGACCCACATCCATCCCAGACTTCAGTGCCTTTCCCTTCAGGTACTGGCCTGTGACAGTGCCTACACCCTGACATCTTCCCCTCACGGGAACTGCAGTCCCTTCATAACAGTGGTTCCCAATCTTTTTTCATACTGGGGACCGGCAAACCTGTTCGCAAACTTGTGGCGGAGTGGCAACATTTGTGTATTTGCATATTCATTATGCAGATAAACCATTTCCTGGTTGCCAAAATATGTATCCTTGGCCCCTCATACACTCCAACCCTGACTCCTACAGCCCCCCCACGTTATTTTATTCAGGCTTGGTAGCCAGAGCAGCCGCCCATTGGATGGAACAGATCCTGGCCATCCGTCCGCCATGCAGCGGGTTCCACACCCCCACCCCTGGCTTCCCCTGCCACGCAACCACAAGCCTCCCTGTCAAGCTGCAGGGTCCAGCCTCCCTCCCCTCTTTCGAGCAGGCCCCACACGGCTCCAGCAGGCTCCTGCCCCTCTTTCGAACAGGCCCCACACGGCTCCAACAGGGTCCCTCCCCCCCCCGCGAGCACAGGGCCC